TTTCTGATATATTTCGGGTTTGAAACTCTATATGAATCTTTAACCTTTGATTTACTTTTACAAATGCTTCGCTCGAAATGAGCAGTTTGATAAAATGGTCATACAAATCCATTGAGAGTCGTAGGTAATGAAGAGTCATTCGAATTGGCTCGTGATTTTTGTGACGTTAGAGCCCAAATCGGGGTCTCCGGTTTTTTTTGTCAGCTAAATGGGATGTGAAATCCAATGAAATTTTAGAATTTTCAGTAAGATCTGATGTTGCAAGCAGACTCGCTTTTTCACTGTATTGGGTGGAATGTTTTATTCTTTTTGCGCTTGTCAGTATATCTGACTCAGATTCGCGAGCTTTTTTGTAATGGGTGTAGATATAGTCATTTTTAAACGTTAAGAGAACAATCTCAGAAAGACGGAATCCGTCGTCTTTTTATTGATACATGAAATTACCGCAGTATGTTTAATCGCTACATGTATGAATATGGATATCGATATGGGACATATGTGCTTACTGGAAAAGATGCAATTGGTTCACGATAACTAAAAATAACAATATGGAATATCTACGTCGAACTGTATTGCAACAGAACTTTAAATCAATTCTCATGATATAAATAATGATTTCATAACGTAACACTTTTATCCAAAAGAAATATTGTAACCAAACAGGATAATAAGGCTAAATATAATTTGTCTTTATCAAAACGAAGTTTCCATTTTTTATGCAAAATAAATTCACGTATAAATATAAAATAAACTTTAAATAATACTCACATCTTTGTTTTTTAGGCGTGAAATAACATAAGTCACTGTTAAAGCACAAATAATGCAAGCGTACCAATTAATCTGTACATAATTTTCACCCATAAATTTGCTATGTTGAAAAGATAATTAAAAACATATTTGATTATTATTAACGTGACAACTTAATATGCAGTCAACTCTTTCTATAATGAACTGGTGGTCCTGCTAAAAATTTCGTCATATCAAGAATTAACTGTATTATCAACTTACGTGTTTCTTGAAATCCATAAGTTCATCTGAATACTTCGTATAATTATCACTTGATAATCCTGTCATATACAAAAACTTTTTTACTTTCAAACTTATACATAATCCCAGCCCGAACTATAACTTTAAAACCCATTACTTCATCCATTTCATCCAAATTACTTTCATGGATTTTTTTACTGCCTCAAAAATATTTGATGGATTTGTTAAGTATCAACACGTCAGCCGATGAAATAATACTTTTAACCTTAGGTTGTCGTAAATCTTTGACGGGCAACACCCTAAATTGTAAAAGCTGTAAGTCCTTATAGTCTGGTCTGCTTGTGACTTGTACGTTGGAACTATCCGACTAGGATCAACTGGCAAAATTTCTGCTAGCGAGTTTTGTATTCCGTCAAAAAATCTCTTCTTTTCAGAGTAGGTGAGATTTTTGAACAAAGTTGACCCTTCGTGCGATAGTCTCATTAGCGATAGAGCGGGCCTATGATACCAAAAATATAATTTCAATATATGCAAAGAATTAAGATAAATTTTATTATAAGCGGTGTCACTTACTAACATATTCCACATCAACTTCAACTATAACCCATAATATCAAAATGAATTTAAGAATAACAGATAATTAATGATCGATCTAATTTACCTGATTCTGTTGTGAAGTTCCATAAATAAGTCTTGATTTCATATAGAGGTTCATTTACACCAGCAGTTTTAGCAAAGTTATTACCGAACACAACATAATATTTAGCATTTGGGAGGCTATACGTAGTTGGTAGAATCATACACGTGATTTTATTTGGATCATTTGAGCCCACTTTACAAAATGATGACTTTGTTTTGAGCATTGATGATTTGACGTAGCAAATCGTTCGCGTTTTCGCGATACTGATAGAGTGATATATTCGCGGAGGTTACTACAACTGGGTATCGATATGTAAGAGATATTTGACCAGCCGACAGATACGTTTTAGTTGTGAGGTGATACGTTAATGACATTTGGATTGTTGAATCCGAGGTCTTTTTACCAAATAATTATATATTATCTAAAGCAGCAGACAAACGAAATAATAGAAAAAATTTTGTAATTATGACAACCATTCGGCAGAAGTCCTTGACCAACGAACCCTTGTAATGGCATAGCATCAGGAATTTGCCAATTTGAAACAAATTTTGAGTCGCAATCGTAAATGGGTCCAGTGAGCGTGGATGCAGTTGTATTCAAATTAAGCGTCATGTACCCGCCGTAATATAATGGACGAATTTTGTAAATCCACGATTGGTTCACGGAAAGACTGTGATCGGCTTCGATAGTAAATTGGTCAATATCCAGGATCGAGCCTGTTGAATAGAAAGCGACTTTCATAAACGCTGATTCTGTTTGTCCCACAGTCTCATTATTGAATATTACTAATAATATACATGTGTATCTAAAAGAGATTCATATATAATTATTAAACTAAAGGCAAAGATATACACGAACTAAAGTATTACCCGCTCAAATCATAATGTGCACTGCAATCGCATATTTCCAAAGCATCCCAAATTCACACTCGTCTGATAAACCAAAAACCTTTGATTTTCTTTGCTGTCCCCATGATCTAAAACGGTTGCATATGCGAACCAATTTGGCGATAAAGGAACAGTGGATTGTAAATTTTTACTCTGTTAGTTTGCGCGGTTAATGTTATTCCGTAGGTTCCGTCTACTGTAGGAAATGCTCTTGCTTGACTGAAATTTGTCCCTTCGGGTGATACGATAACGCCTGTTCTCACAAGAGAGATCTGGCCTTCTTGATCACTGTTAATATAGAAAGAAATTCGAAGAATTTATTATCTTTTCAAAAGCTAGTATTGATTATGCACAAGAAAATAAAACTAACGGTGCAGTGAATTGGAATCATGTGGTATTAGTCTGAGAACATTGAGCCCATAAAAAGCTTTTGGAGGGAGGTACAAAAAGTTCACGATAATTATTAAATCCAACCAGCTCATAAGGACTATAACAGAAAATTTTTAAATTTTAATAAAATTATTAATTATAGTATAAATACAGTTCGTACCAAAAAGTGATTTCTCCATTCCAATTTGAAATGGTTGCGAGTTTACACGTATCCGTCAAATACGTAATAAATATATTATTGTTTGTCAACGCCGAAGGATATGTTGTTGAATCATAATAATTCACCATTTCTACATCCAGTGATCGTACAGTTCCATTTGGAAAAATCAATCGTAACGATATTTTCGATGAATTAAAACTTGCGCTTGGTTATCGTTACATTGGAGATGCATCTGCAAACATCGTAAAATCATTTATCGGCTCTGTATGACATCACGCTAAAGGCAGTATTTCCCGAATATGACCACGAAAATTTATTGAAAGCATCAATAAAGAAAAACAAATATTTGGTATCTTCTCCATATTTTTTATGAAGATTGTAAGTTTCGAATATTTAATATTTAAAAGTTAAAAAGCACATACAGACAAGAACAGTTGTATATGAGTTAAAATGCCTATCGGTATGTTCAATTTTATAAATAATACGATATTTTTTATCATGTTTTGTTAAGCTAAAATGGAGTTTTTATACGCAGTTGGGTTTGATTTATTTCTTTCTAAATAGTTTTAAAGGAATGGAAATTAGGGAAGATGCCATACTTTGTTGGCCTTATAAACTTTTTAAAAAAATACATGTATTGTGTACCTAAAATTTAATTTTTCTAAGTTTAGTTGCCATGGTAGAATTTTGATTTATCGTTATGGTACGATTTTTTCGGTGATTTTTGAGTCATTTTTTATTAACGTTAACGTTAACAACTATGAGCATTAAATGTTGTGTTATTTGCAATTTTTTGGAAAATCTATTGAAAAACCCCATATATAGTAATACATACAACTTCAACGTATGATTCTTTTTGGAGCTGCGAACACATCTAAATCTTTTAATTTACAATATACATTCAAAGCTAAAATACATGTGTACCGATAGATTAAATTTTTATAATAATGATAAAAATTTCGATTCCCATCTTATGTAAATAGAGGAAAGAATCTTTAATCTTAAATATGCAAATTTTTCAGTAAACAATTGCTATTATGTCGGATTATTGATCTTTATACAAAAGTTTTGCTTTCAAATGGAAATCAATTTGATAATGCGATTTCTATAATTGATACAAACTGAATTTTCAAGCATTACCATTAAATGACTTAGCAACTTTTTGACAATATTTTGTTCTTATAATGACTCGCGCTCTCCAAGTGGAACAATACGACCGTTTCCGCCGATTTCATCGCAAAGGAGGCTCTTGACCGAAATGAGTAAGGGTTGGCAATGCGTTGCTGATTGTTAAGTATGTTTAATTATCGATGTAGGCATTTAAACATTACGAAATTTTTCCTCAAAAGAATTTTATTGGAAAGATTTTCTCATATACAATATTGCGTTAACTGATCATTTTTCTTTATACATGTACCCTTTTATTTAGGATTAATAATGGATATATGGTGTTTAATCGTTTATTTGTTGCAAATTTGGCAAAAAGGCGGTGGTTGGTATGGAGGTTCATTGTAAAGCGGGATAAATTTTCTAACAGGTTTATACATGTTCTTTGTGCCTTTATTCCGGCGGTGCTAGTAAATGTATTGCTCTATAAGGAAAAACGGAAAAACACAATACCAGCACATGTATTAAATGCTCTTTTGTTTACAATACGAGATGTGATGGTAAGTTTTGGCCCCTTAAGAACCAATATTTATATATACATGTGCTACATGTATTTATCAATTGTACGCGCGTCTAGAAGTTTTGTGATTCTAAATACGGGATATCTTGCGAAATCACCAAAATGCGGGAAAAATTGCAAACTGGTTTTTTTTCGCAAATTTCGTTATTTCCGCTAGAATTTTTGTAATATTGATAACTTGCTTAAAGCTAAATTGATATATCAATATTGAGCTATCAAATTACGACCCTGAAATTTATTGAGGTTAACAAATAAATTGTAAATTTTATCTTAGACACTGAATTTCAACATCGTTATATTTAAAATTTTTATTAACATGCAGTACAGAAATTAAGATTTGAATATTTACATTACTAGCAAACATAATGAATTCAAGCCAAATCTAGAATGTCTATTCATACGCAGTTTTTTGTAGGGTTCCAATTGTGTACACGTGAATGAGCATTTGATATTTCTTTTTATTAAATACGCAAAACTACTTCATTTAAAATATGTATGTTATAACTATCGAAAATATGTTAACAAGTTATAGTTCTTTATCAAACACTTTAATTGAGCCGCTCATTAAAGAAAAAAAATATGATTTTATGTATTTTCTAAGCAGAATTAAACCCAGTAATAGGCTCCGCGCACATACACGTTGGGCAACAGGTACCACCTCCACTGGGCCCACCAAAACCACCACCATAGTTACCGCCATTGTTAGTGCCGTCGTTTTTAATAGGCGGACCTAGAAATCTGACTGGAGACGGAAGCGCAGATATACCGAGAACGCAGAACGACAACACAGCAAGTAAAATAGTTTTCATTTTTTTAACTTATTGTCTGATATTTCAATTGTTGTTCTTTGATTAGTAACGGTCAAAGATAAATTATTGCTGAGATAATGAACTAACTACACTACACGTACTTATATTTGTTGTAGCATAAGGTCACAGGAAAATTATTGACTTAAATTTTTAATAGAAAAGTGTGAGACATGTACATGCACATGCACATTTATTATCGTTGTTTGTTGTCTCCAATAGCAATCAGTTAACATTGTGTGTTTATTATGTTTGTATACTCTTATGCTATACATGTACCTAACATGTACCATGTATTTTGTTTCAAGATTGTACATGTACCTTAAACGTTAATAGACTCATCACAGTTAACTCTCGTTACAGTAAATCCTATACATGTATTTGTGATCAATAATAATGAGCTTAAAGAAAAATAAATACTTTATTATCTATATGAAGATCATTAGCTGGATATTTCTACTTTATAACTGATCTTTTATCATAATAAAATAGCATGCTTTCCTTTGACAAATTAAGATTGGTTAAATAAATATTAATAGTATTTTCATTAAGGTTAAGGGTGAATCTCCTCTTCCTCTTTAATAATTATTGTGTGATATGTATCACTTCTTTTTATAAAATACAATTATTTGTAATTAAATATTAAATTAAATATTAAATTATAATTTATTAAAATAAAATTGAGTTAATATTGCGCGTACACATATATAGTAACATTTGAATTAAATTTTAAATTTGCTATTTGATTGGTTTACCCCCTAAAAATCACATGATCCGTAATGGGTTTTACTGCTCTCGTTATCGTAAAGTAATTTTCCGAGTGTAGAACTGAATTTAAAATAGATCAAAACAAACACCGCCAATTTCCATTCTCAGCACCCGTAATTAGAATGAGCAAAAATATTATAAGGTATGGCGAATTACGTATCAATACCACAGATTGCAAGACCTATAAATTGAAAGAATCTTACGAAAGTTTTTTACGTCAAGACATATCGATATACATCAATGAACGCCAAAATCAACATCGTAAAAAGAATCTTTCTCATTGCGTTACTCTTTGTAGCGACTGTAAACTCATTACCAATGGGAATTCGTTATCCAAATGGTAGTGTCGGCAGCAGTGGATGTTATATTCCCAGAGGAAGCCGTCAAATGATTTGTGCATAATCACATACGTGTACATGTATAACAATAGATATTGTATGTCGTTATCAAATTGTATGAAGTAAAAAGCAGCAAAAGTTTGATATAAAATAATTGAGTTTTAGGTAATTTTTTTTTGAATAAATATAAACGGCATAGAATTAGTTTTCACATCGTGTGATTTTACTGATTTCTAGTTCTTTGAAAACAAACTATAATTAAATTTCACATCACGCTAAGCATTTTAATTTAGGGTTTGAAAACAAATTTCATAATTCTTTGTATTTTTCGTTGCTTTTACAACTGAATTTGCCTATTATCATGTGAGTCGACTAGTCTCTACAAGTTGTCCCCGATAATTCCGAATCAAATAAATTAGTAATTAAAGTTTTAAGAAATTTCAGTGCGAATTTATTTGCAAAACATTAAATTAAAGGTTTAATTTTTATACCGTAGAACGATAAATCATTTCTCCAACACTAATCTATATACTCTTACTCTAATTCTTTTGATTTGAGCACGACATACATGTGTGCGGTCACGCTTTTCTTCTAGCGCTAGCATTTTTTTGATTTAATGGAGGGCATGCTGGTTTTTTATATCGCATAAATAATTCTTTAATGAATCATAAAATTTTATTATTTACGTAAGTACTATATAGCACTCGAATAATTTTCTCATAGTGCATATATAGAATTCAAAGTAATACCCTACAAGAAAAATATTTTGTATTATTAACGTGTTTAGGTGCAATATTCAACTCAAGTAAGGTAGTAAGTAGTACATGTTTAGTATTAAAGTTAGAAATTTCACGTGATAATAATACTATACTTCGTTTTGCCATGGATATTCATCGTACATGTATTAGTATTGTTATTTTGCATGAAAAATATGGATGAATTCGTCGAGAAACTAAATGAAAGGTATCCTAAAACAAACTCAATAAATGACTGCCTATATTTAAAAAGATTTTTGCATTTATGTACAGAATCAACCAATGGAACAAAATCACACATAAAGGAAGCGAGATGTTGGAGCAACTTTGTATTCAAGATCATCATAGTTTTGATAAATCAAAAACTACAGCTAAAGATGAACAAATATTTATTGAAGACGGAGCAAAAATAGAGCTTAGTTGTTTAATAAAAGAATGTATGTCACACTGCACTGTTTTTATTATTTTACTAATATGCACGTAATTTAATAATTTTTATTTTATAAAGTATGCAGTCAATTAGATCATATGTACACCGATTATAATAAAATGATCAAACAATTGGAACAACAGGAACAAGAAATAGAAGTATTAAAAGTATCTTCAATATTCTCTCTTTATTGTCATATGCTTAAATTAACCAATGAGTATCTATCTCTAGCATGAAAAAATACAGCGTATCGTGCTATGTCTATCGATGTTTGAGCAAGAATACAAGCTGAAAAAGACAATTAATGAATCACTTCACTCTGGGTCACCTCCGACAGTTGAACAAATTTCCACTGTTGTATTGACGGTGTGGAAAACGCAACCGTATGTTAATGAAAAATTGATCAAGGAAATTGTTTGATTAATAAAGCATACAGCAAGCTATTTAACTCACGGCTTCTCGCTTTAAGACCATAATATAACTACAGAGGGCTATCAAAAGTTTCCGAACGCTTTTTATTCAATAAAAATTTTTAATTTTCAAAGTAAAAAAACGTCAAACCACTAATAAGACTTTAAGTTTATTATGCTCTACATTTCGTATTATATAACTAGTACTTAGTTGGACCTCTTCAAGCTCTACAAGATTGGTTGGTTTCTTCTTTCGTTTTTTAAGAGTTCTCTTCACCTCAGCCCATAAATTCTCAATCGGATTGCGCAGACCCTTTTCCATATGAAATGCAACTGCATTCTTTGTTTTGTGAGGTTTGGCATTATCTTCCTGAAACAAACCATCATTTTTTGGAAACATGCGCCTCATTGTAGGTACAGCATACTTGCGCAATATTTCAATATGCGTAGCTCCAGTGTGGTGGCACAATTGGTCCTACCTCCTGTCACGAAAAGCAACCCCAGTGCATACGGCTTGGACTGTGTTTCACCGTAGCTGAAACACAAGAAGAAGACCATTCATCTTGTGGTTCTCTCCATACTCTACTAATATGACTTTGCTGAAATTGAGTGAAAGTTGATTCATCACTCCATAAGACTTTTGCCCACTTCTTTTTCATCCAGCTTTCATGTTCTAAACACCATGCAAGATGTGCTGCCTTATTTTGCTGGCGAACTAAGAGGTTTGCGTCATGCAACACAATTTTTTAACCCAAGTGAATGAAGATTACGGCGAATTGTTGGTGGTAGAGATATCCTGACCCCTTTTTTTTCCAAAGTTCTTTTCACTTCGGAAAGACATAACCGTCGATTCTTCGTCACCAATCGTTTGAGCCGTTTTGCCGGGTAGAGTTGGTGGAATCAGTCTCAGCATGCCGTTTTAATGTATTACAAACTGTTGCTAAACCACATCCAACGGTTTCTGCAATTTGGCGGTATGAATCTCCACGTTTATGGCAATAGAATATAGTACTACGTTGCTCCGAAGCTAACTCCTTGTTTCTCCCCATTATGATGTATAAGGAAAAAACAAAATGCAAAAAATCACTTCTCAGAAATCAATCAAACAAAATAAAACGCGCATATAAATACAGATCTTTCCTTTTATATAATGCGAAATTTCGTTTTTGAAAAAACTTTTGATAGCCCTCTGTAAATATCTTACTCATGTTTGTTTCATAAAGTGCGGCTCAACTTTTACCAAATCTGTCTCACATCCAACCGTGTGTTCTGTTTGAACGATTGTTGGGATGAAATCAGTGCCTAATTAAACATTACTAAACAATAAGTAAATCGACTAATCCTATTATAGTTTGCCCAGTTCTCTACAACCATAATGCGCCAACCCCCTTTTTTATATCTCTCTCCTTGTTTGCGACAGCTTGTGCAATCCAGAATGGCGCGCAGGAATTTTATAAATTTAATTGGTTGAAATTTTTTACTTTTTGTGGTATCTTTATGGGAGTGGGCAATTTGATAAAAAATTCTGATGATATCAACGGAATGACTTATGTTTCAACGCTGATCGTCGATATATGTACATGTACGAAAAATACTATCGTGAATAACAAAGAAAGTGGTAACGTGATGAGAATTTTTAACAACATTTTTTAACAACTGTTAACATTTTTTAAGAATAAACCTCTACCCATGAGTCTCTACATGTGATTTATCGACCTGATCCGATCCCACCTTTATGTATTATCTCTGATTCAGTCATATTTGATGGTTCTAAAATAAATCCTATACCAATAGATAATCACTATTTTAATGTTTCCGATTACGAATAATTTTTCAATGGCGAGATATTCGAATTTCGTCAGTGATCTGTTTCTTTTGTGAGCTACTGTCCGTAGAGTCAAACTGCTGTAAAGATAATCTGAATTGCTTGATGTTAAAATCCAATTAATCAAAAACGATTCTTATACGGCTATGTGACCATACTGTGGTATAATTAAATACAGTGGCTCACCAACATGGAAAAAAAACGGCGAGATACGAATATCTCGTCGTAGGGCAACCAAAAGGTTGACGTATTGATTCATCAATATCTAACAGTATTGATGATATCAAAATTTATTCGCTTCTATCTTTTGATTAAAGATGCATTAACTTTTTTATCTTTCTTAACGTTGCCTGATTACGACCGAACGGGAAGGTGGACGGAAGGGCTATATAAAGATAAGTACAAACGCTTTTAACTTAAAAAAAATAAATCTTCACATTATAGCAAACAAACTGACATAATTATGCCTAGAATCCCTATTGAGAAACGCGCCCGTATATACACGCTCCGGAAAGGATATTCGATGCGACATCGGAACAAATAGACCCAGCCTCCGTCTACCGGATATGCAAAGAGACTGGGAGCTTCGATGACAAGCCAAAAACCGATCGCCCACCAATCCCTCTCGACACACTACGAAAGAAACGCGTGCCGATTAATCCACTCAGGAAAATGCCCCACCGCTGTCGAGGTCCAACGAGAGCTTAATGAGTTGGACGTGGACCTTTCTGTGGAAAGCATACGACATATGCTCCGTAGAAAGCGGATTATTCGCTCGCATAAAACGAAAGAAGCCTTACCTCAAACGAACACAAAAAACGACGGTTGGCGTGGGCGAAAAAATACCGAACTTGGACGGCCGACGAATGGCGACGCGTAATTTGGTCTGACGAGAGCAAGCACCAAATTTTCAGGTCGGATGGCCGAAAGTATTGCTAGGAGAAGCCCGGTGGTCAGTTAAAAGACCAGCATATTACGCCAACCGTCAAATTTGGCGGTGGTTCGATCATGGTTTGGGGTTGCGTGACGGGCGATGGTGTTGACGAGTTGAGAAAATTGTGGGAAAAATGAATGCAGATGGCTATGTGGAAATTCTAACAAATAATCTTCTAGGATCAGTCTGGGAAAAGGGGCTGGAGGATAGTGATTTTATTTTCCAGCAAGATAATGACCCAAAACACGTCTCCGGAAAAGCAAAGCAATGGTTCGCCGACGAGATCACTTTGCTAGACTGGCTATCCCAGTCGCCCGACCTAAACCCATAGAAAATTTATGGAATGAGGTGGATATGCGGATGAGGCAACTTCCTGGACCACTTTTAACCACAGAACAGTTGTGGGGAAAGTTGCAAGTGGCGTGGAAGAGCATAGATCTCGATTATTGTTCCAAATTGTACGGATCTATGCCAAAAAGGATTAGTGAGGTAATAAAAGCGAAGGATGGTTATATAGAATATTGAAGTATGTAGTATGAAAAAAATTTAGCAGCTTGTTACTTACTTACCTTAGTTAGAAATTCGCCCTCCTATCTCACCTTCCATTTCGGTCATAATTAGTGCAACACTAAAAAAATAGACGCAAATCAATTTTTGATATTATTGACGAATCACTATACTCACCTTTTAGTTTTCCAAGTTTTCCCTACGGCGAGATATTCGTATCTCGCTGTTTTTTTTCTGTGTTGCGTTTCTTTTGTGAGCCACTATATCGATAGTGATAGAATTTCTAACTAACTAATCGGATGTTATTAATTCCTGCCATATCTACTACTTAAGAATCCAATATAAAAAAATCCAAATTAAAAATGTGTGTATATCTGCAAAACATCCGATCGTTACTAACTACATGGACTATGAGTGATAACATGTAGTATGTCGAATAGAATTTACTGGCACACGATATAGAAGCTATAAAAGGTAAGACGTAATTTGTTTGTGTTCGGAAAATTTTATCCCAAAAAATAATAAAAAATATTTAGACTGATTACATAATATATATCGATATTAACAAGCAATATACGAATCCAAGTCGAAGATTTTTGATATTGATTTTGAAATAAATATTAAGACACTTTCAAAGAATCTTTATTTATTTGATTTTGCTTATTTTAATGTGTTTGGCTTATTTTAATTTTGGCAATAATATAGCATCAATTGTTAGGTAATATAAATATTTATTTGTAATCGCACTTTGTAAAAATCTAGAGCTTGAGAACTTAGAATTAATTTATTAGCTAGAGGCTATTATTTAATTTTCAAAATTATGGTTTAATTATTAATTATTGGTACAATAACAATTAAAAAGTTAAATTATCAACTTGGATGGAATTTAATTTTCCAATTAGAATAAAAGTAAATATCTCTCTTTCAAAAGATAATTCTATCCAAAGTAAAAATATAATCAATATTGCTAATTATGAATAACTATATGTAAAATTGATATAAAAAGATATATTCTTGTTTTTATATAGATATTTTAATAAAGTGATCTAAAAAAAAGTAAATTGCTCAGAATTATATAAATAATAAAAATCATTTCTTTGATCTTATAATTTGCAGGCTTTATTCATTCAGCTTGTTAACTTTGCAGATGTATAATATATATATATATATTCTATTTTGAAAAATTTATTTGTCAAATTAAGATATATAATCAGATCTTGCTATAGTTAATATACTTGAAAAAGTAAAATTAGATAACTAAAGAAATATGATTATAAAAAGATTTTTTAATTATAGTTAATTATTAACTGAAAAACTTAAAAAAGATGATTATAAAGAGATATAACTATAGAGAGATCTAATTATATAAATACTAAATTTATAAATTAATCTTTATATATTATTACAATACTGATTTATACTTATTGTAAATTTTTATTAATAAATTTATTTTTTAAATACTGATATTTGATATTTATATTTATAATATAATATAGTTCATTATTAAGTAAATTAATTTTTATATAGCAAGTAAATTTTTTATAATAATAATTTATAAGTATTGAAACTTTACTAAAATTAAATAAGATTTATTAATAATTTATTTTTAAAATTAATATTTATATATTTAAATATAAATTTGAATTTATTTTATTTTATATATTTATAATTACTAAAAATAAAATTTATAGTTATATCTTTTTAAATATATTCTTTCTAAGTATATATATTATATAATTTCTCTCTAAATACATGATATATTCTAATCCTAGCTTATAAGAACTCTATATATTTTGATCTTTATAAATATACTTTCTTTCTAAATACAAACTTTTTATTTTTTTACTATAGTTCCAAGAGAGATATAACTGTATTTATATATTATAAAAAGATATATATTAATTTTTATAATATCATAATTTTATTATAATAAATAAAAAGAAAAAAATTAAATAATAAAGAATTTTTTTAAGTTTATTTTATATTTAATAATATAATAAACTTAATTTTATTTTTTATATATATTTTATATTATATTAAATTTTATTTTATATTATATTTAAATTTTATTATATATATAATAATATCAAAGTTTTTATTAAAATTAATTTTTTAATTTATAATAGAATAATTATTTATTTATTATTAAATAAATTCTAAATAAAATACTTGAAAAATTTAAATATAATATATTTGAATTCCAATCTATTTTATTAATAAATTAGAAACAGATCAAGCAATCAAGATTTTTTTATATTAAACAATCAGTTTGAATAAGCTCATTTATTATAACTTAGCTATTGATTTATATAATACAGACAATAAATTTTTAATTTTTATCAAGACTAATTTTAGATCCTTAGAAGTTGAATATTATAAAATTGTTCAATATGAATTATTTTTCTTATAGCAAAAGCATAAATTTAATTATATGATTTCAGAATTATTATTGTTGTTAAACTTTTTCTATTTTATTCTAAAATATAATTACATGTAATTTATTACTCGAAACGAAAAATAACCTCATGTATCAAGTCTTTCCAAAAGAAGGGAATTGTATACTTATTCAAAGTGTTATCTAGTGAAATTCCTGGAATTTTAGTAATGATAATCAGAATGATAATCAGTAACACAATAACACCATTCGGCTTTATAGTTGGGTTGTTACGATAGGATTTGTCGAATAACACGTGACAGTTTCTGGTCCCAATAAGATATTTTACGCCATGAGAAAATCCTCAAACCTAATTTTGGGATAAATAGATTCGTACAGACAACTCACCATGCATCTACACATGTTTCGGATTAAACGATTAAAGTTTTACGTTAAAGTAACAAAAATCATTACGAAACAACTTCAAACGAACAAAAAGAAGGAAAGACGCCCTTTTTTATCCATGGCGTGAAAATCAAGTGTAAAAACTGGTTTGGCGCGCTTTTTTTGGCGGCGTAGTCATTCATTGAAACTTATTAATGAATATCTCAACCGCTTTACGCAAAAATCTGTACATTGACGTAATAATGATAAGAACTATTTAACCATCTTCATCTTTCCAACCCATTATCGTCACATTCTCTATTTTCCTCTCTTTTGTAAATAGAATAAAAATCTCTTTTACCTTGGAAAATTTGTATAATATTTATAAATAACAAGAATATAAAAAAATGTCAGAAGTTGAGCAAATCGTGTTTAACCCCGAACTTTCACAGACTAATAAGCAAATAGAAGAAACTACTAATGCTACAACAACAGAAGAGGGTCAAGTAGAAGTACAAGTAGAGGAACAAGCAGGACAAGAAGGGCAAGCAGAAGTAGCCCAGGAAACGCAAGATATTTCACAAGTTACCAGTATGTTTTCACATAATAATTATTGATAAAAAGGGGATTTTAAAAAAGAAAAAGAATTAAAAATTTTATTTTTCAAATTAACATTCATTGATTCGAATAGCTGGTGTTGAGGAACTATCCGTTTCTGGTACCTCTAGTACCACGACAACTTCTCGAGGAGTGGTAACAGAAGACAGAAGCGCCACTACTTCTACAACTGATCCAAAAAAACGACAAGTTCCACACCCAGAGAAATCCTTTGCATTGCAAATAAATTCGTTTGGCGAGGCGTCAGTGTTCACTTGGCGTGAAATAGCCACTCCGAAAATTGTTGGACCACATGATGTCATTGTTAAAGTTGTGAACACATCAGTTAATCCGATCGATTGGAAAGTGAGAAAAGGATTTATGCAGGTTTTGGAGAAACCGACCTTTCCGCATACTCTAGGCAGAGATTTTTCTGTAAGTTTGTGTTTTTTTTTCTTATGCTATGTTATCAAATGGTTATCTAATGATATGTCATTATTAGGGTACTATCGTAGCTAAGGGAACCAGTGTAAATCGATTCTTCCTCAAAGATAAAGTTTTCGGAGTAGTGCCTCATGGAGCATATGCGCAGTAAGTTTAATTTGATCTGACATTCAATACAAGAACCACGTCTCGATGTCCCAAGAAATAAATAATAACATGTGTTTCACCTAAAAAATGTTCTAATCGACAGGTATATTCGCGTCAACACAGAAAAAGACATTATCGAAAAAAAACCAGTCTCAATCACGCATGAAGAAGCAGCTGGTGCCCCGCTTGCATCACTAGCTGCATGGCATTCCCTGGTTGAACTTGGTAATCTGCCACACGGTGAGAAAGCAGCAGGCAACCCCAAAGTATTAATCATTGGTGCGTCAGGAGGTGTTGGTACCTTTGCAGTTCAACTAGCAAAAAGAGCCAATCGAGCAAGTGTGACAGCAGTCTGTTCAGGAAAAAATGCAGAATTAGTTACACGACTTGGCGCCGATCGTGTAATCGATTATAAACAACTCAATTACGTTGAAGTATTAAAAAGCGAACAAGATTTTGACCTAGTCATTGATACAATCGGCGAACAAGGAAATTACGACAAGGCCAGCACACTTTTGAAAAAGAATGGTATCTATGCAGCGGTCGCTACCGAAATCAACGAGCAGAAATTGACGATTGGTGATCTCGCGAAATTCGGTGCTACAGTTGTCGGCAGAAAAATCTTTGGCTCACGAACGTATAAACCGTTGCTTGATATTGATCGAAAAGATTTCCCGAAAGTTATTCCGTATTTGGAACGTAGGGAAGTTATAACGGTTATTGGTGAACGGTTCTCACTTCAGGATGGGTCGAAGGCACATGAGTTAAGTCAGTCGTTGCATGCTAGTGGAAAGATTATTCTAAAAGTTTCATAGGATAGTTTGTCACTTAATTTATTAGAATTGTTTTGTCAAAATTCTGAATTGGCATTTATTTATCATTATTTTATATATATTAAGTTAAAGAAAGTTTTTACAGTTAAATATCTTTTTTTAGCAGAAAGCTGTAATTAATTATTAGTTAAATAAAAATCAATATTTGAATGCATCCCTACCTTTTTGATTCTTGATTAATGTTAACATCAAAAAATTAGACTTGGATCAAATTCAAGGATCAAATAATCAGAATCAGGACAAGAATTCGGAATAGAATCTGCCTAGAATTACTCGTTCTAGTAGTGTGATAAGAGATCTTGGGAAAAATAAACTTTGCACCCTAATTTAACAACACATGAAATACAGGTTTTTTATTTTCCTTGTTCTGGTTAAATCGTTATTTTTTAGGGCGGATGATTGCTAATTTCTATTTTTGGAGAATTGTTTTTTTCTTTTTTTTTATTTCGTTAAGGGTGAAGTGAGTATTATTGGTCCAACATATAGATCTGATTATTGCTAACCCAAATATGGTAATTTAATCAAGAAAAAAAGAACAAATTGGTTAGTATTGTTTGACCGTTCATGGGTCAGTCAACATTCGCTCGAGGAAGAATAGGAAAATAAACGCATGATTGATTATCTAGAATTCTCCACAAATCTATTCAAATGTCAAATGAGGAAGTGGTTTGTTAATTAGCCATTTGCATGCTTGTCATTTCAATCGAACGATTACTACCAACCTTCCAATATAAAACCCCATTCGATACTTTATTCGTTACTCGTCATCTCTACATAAAAAATTAACTAGTTAGAAAAAGAGAAAAAGATCCAAAAAGACATCGTTGGTTACGTACAACCTCGCGGAACAATCTTCTTCTATTGATACTTTTATTCTTTGACAACAATGTCTTTCTCATTGATGGCATCGTTAGAAAAGAATATTCACTTAGCTATTATTATGGCTTACTTGTTCACCTACATTTCATCAACAATAATAAATCCTTCGATACCAGTTGGCGCCGTGACTTGACCCTTCGAAAATTATTGGATCCTTTATTTGTTGTTGGAACGGAGCTGCCCTAGTCGGATTTACCTTTGCTGACTGGATATTCACCATTATTCTCGCAAAACCTCTCATAAACATTAAGCAATCAAAGCAATCATTCGTTTTTCCAATTTTTTCGATCGATTTTCTTACTCAAAAAATAACCAAAAAAATTGAAAATTTTCATCATTCCAATCTTGTAAATATTTTTTTCTTTTCCCGTTTTCTTTTTGTTTTTTATTTTCCGCCAAATTTTAGTATCCATTCCCGTGAGAAGTTATTAAAAACCTTCCACGAAAGAAAAAAACATTCATAAAAAATTTTAGTCAATTTTTTTTTACATAATGCATAAACATTAAAAAAGTAGCATACGTATATTTCAACATGATACATGATACATATATTAATATTTGTATATACTAATTTGTTGTAAACGAGATCGATATTAAATACGTATATTGCGCAAAATCTAATAAAAGTTGAATCCCATGTTTTTGTGTTCGCATTTTTTTTAAAATCCGTGTTATTTATATATTATTTGTTACACTGCCTTTTTGTGTTCCATAAGGGAGGTAGTATTATGGCGACGAAGATGAGTTCATTTTGTTAATGACATTTTTTTGTATACATGTGGCCTTTTAACCCCATATGCTGAAACTCCTGAAAATAAAGTTTCTGAAATCAAAGAATTTGAGTGAAGGTTACTGAACCTTCAGAAGTAAAAGAATATAAAAAACATAGAATGAAATTTCATTGTAAATTGGTATTAAAAAAACATTCAAATCTCAGTATTCCGCCAGGAAATTTGAAATTTCATAATCAACAAAGCTGTTGTTTGATCAGAACTAGAGCCTACTGCATTCTCCGCAAATCAAAAAACGCCAAATTTAAAAAATTCGGTGACTTTGGACGCGATATCTCAACATCCAATGGTCTGATTTTGGACAAAAATAAAGCCATTAGATTCTTCTAATCTAGACGAATTGAAAAATTCTATTTTTGTCCAAATTGGACCATTGGATGTCGAGGTGTCGCGCGCCAAAGTTACCGAATTTTTTTAATGTTTTAAATTTGATCATCCGATTATGCATACCTTTTACCATTAAATCATGTAAAAAATTTCGTATAGATCATTTTTATAATGTAAATTGTAAAAATCACATCATTATGCAAAACACACAAATCACGTTATAGACCATGCAGATTCTGCAAATTCGGCAAATTGCAGAAAACTAGACACTCTAATCAGAGTCTAAAGTCAAAATATCATACATATACTCTCCAAGTTATACAGTAGGTCACATAAGAAACGCAACACGAAAAGTTTTACGTAAAAAAAATTTTAGTGCTCTAAATCGATTAAATATATCTGGTTGCTGTACTCATTTTAAAGTTAATAACCTAGAGAACGTCTTAATACCAAATTCGTTTAGTTATTAGTTCCCGAAGTATCAAATTGATGCTAATAAACATAATTTAACTATTTCTTTATCAGCATTAATTTGATACTTCAGGACATAATAACTAAACAATTGGTACCGATTTAGCTTAAAATTGTGTGTAGATAGTTCTCATCAAGAAACACATTTTTTATTAGGCCCTCCTGATATCAAAAACATTTGGAGCTAAATTTCATTAATTAAAATATTTATGTAGATCACTCAATTTCTTTAGAATGGTAGCATTAATATATTTTTTAAACATTTTAGATATTCTCTGGTTTATTAGCTTTGAAATGAGTATAGGGAATAGACACTGTTTTATGTATTATTAGCTTTGAAATGAGTATAGGAACAGACACTGTTTTATGTATTTTCTATCTAAATAGTACTAGTGGCAACAGGCATTGCGCACATACACGCAGTACTAACACCAGCAGACGTTGGACAAGAACATATTGGACGGCAATACCCGTAACTGGCGGATGCTGCGTCGTAACAGATTGGTTGAGGGCTAGCTTGAATCACTGGTGCCGCCAAAGCAGAGAT